CTTTTGCATTTCTAACAATCTGTTTTTAGTTATAAAAAAAATAAGAGCTACATAATCAATCCTTGCTGCTTCAAACTATGGTCGACAGACAAGCAGCAGCATCCACTAGATTTAAGGGTGCTGGACTCTCACTTTCCCCACCCCCTCTCTCACTCTGTCCCTCTCTGGTCAAGTTTAAACAAAGTTAAATATAATAATTCTTCAAAAATTTAATTGCCACTTGACAGCTCAGCTTTAGCAAATTCCTCAGGACTCATGGGAAGAATATCCTTTGATTCTTACATATTACTCTTCAGGCTTAAAAAATCAGTTTTGCTGGTTATAAAATGTTTGCATCACACTTTCCTTGAGTATCTTAACTATTACTCCATTTCCTACTAGCATAAAACATTACTGTCAAAGTTTTATAATTACCAATTTTTAAAGGTTTTTGTCATAGGGCATGTGGGAGGGGGAGGGAGACAGCAAGGGAGGGAGAGGGGGAGGTAACCCACCAGGAGGAATGATCATGCTGCAATCCCTTCTCCTCCATTCTCCTCTTGAGATTTTTGGGCACACACACATATGCACCCAGCATGATTTTCAAGCTGCCCAATCAGGGACTCAAACCTTGGTCGGCTGAGTGTTGAGTCCACTGCCTTAACCTCCATGCCACCTGCTGCCACCTATGATTATCGTTTTCTTTCTTATATTCTATGGGCTCTTTTAGTTAGATACTCAAAGTATTTTGTCTTTCTTTAAAGTTCAGTAATTTTACTAGAACAACCAACCAAGTATTGGTTGTTCTGGGCCAATATCATCAAGTATGCAGGATGCTGATTTAATAAGTACTTTTAAAACTTTTACAATGTCAGTAAAGTTTGCTAAATTATAGTTTTTAACATTTGTTCTTTCCCCTTTATTTTTTTCTTTAGAGACTTCTATGAGTGTTGTTCTTTGTCTAACTTCAATATGCCACCTTTGACTTTTCTTGCCCCCTTTTTCATTTTTTTAATAAAGGTTTTTTTTTTCCTTTCATGAGATAGAGAGCACATGTGTGTGAGTTAGAACCATGCAAATGGGGTCTTCACACCATGATCTGCCCCTAGCTTTAGCCAGCCCCAAATCATGGGCATGTGAATGCCTAGGGTATGAACAAAGGTCTCTGAAAGTAAATCTAAAACCATCCCATGTTGGTCAGCCTCACGTAGCTTGGCATTAAGAGCTGCAACACTCTCCAGCTCCCAACTCTCTCCCCTTTATATATCTTTTAACTGATAAATAATTGTACAGTGAAAATTTTTAGTATATGAATCTAACTAAAATGATCAAATGAGAGTAATCAGCGTATTCATCATCTCAAAGATTTATCTCTACTTTGTGTTGAAAACATTCAAAATCCTTTTAGCTATTTTGAAATATACAGTAAATCACTATTAACTAGTTACCCTATTATCCTATAGAACACTACAATTTATTCCTCTTATCCAACTGTAATTTTATGTTAGTTTTCAATCTTCATCTTCATTTTTTTTTCAGTTTTGGATTCTCCTTTTCCTATTTTATTTCTCTTATAACATTATCTGTTTATATTTGCTCAAGTTTTTTATAGTTTAGTCTTCGTCAGTGAAATCACGTTTTTCCCTTTCTAATTCTTTCCTGAGTTCCGTTACCTGATGTGAGTTCTTGTAATGATGATTTAGGTTCTTTAATGTTTTGTTATTTTATTAATCTCTTAAGCTCATTCTGAAATGGGCTATTACATTTTTTAGTTCATTTAGTTCTATTTGCTTTTGATTGTTTAAAAATATTTAGTGTGTACATTTCTGTCATGCCTTCATTATAGAGATACTGTTTTTTTAAAAAATATTTTCGTATAGCATCTGACCTTAATGTTTTTCTTTTGTTCATTTTCATGTGAAATCACTTTTCCTAAACTTTAAAGAAAGAAGGAAAACAGTTAAACACAAAATGGAAAGTTATTTGTTGAAAACACGTATAGTAACATCTTTGTGCCAATATGCAATGTAATCTGGGTGGAAAAATTTATGTTGTATGTTGTAATGATATTCAGTGACTATAAATATAAAATCAAATCAAATAAATTAAAGAAGTTAATGATGATAAAATACATATTTAAAAAAAGAATGGGGGCTAGCAGGTGGCATGGTAGTGAAGGTGCTGGACTCCCACATGGCTGACCG